GGGAACAAGAAGAAGTGAATGAGACAAGAAAATTTTTGCCTTTGCCTTCGTGGAGTTTACATTCTCTTGAACAGATAAAGCTAATAAAGCAGTAATATGTTAGGTATTGATATGTTCACTGAAGAAAAATAAAGTGATAGGGAGAAGCAAAGATAGTACATGTCAGAAAAGAGATGGGACTAAGCTGTGTAGTTGTGCAGGTGTATGCGGAAAGTCTGTGAGAGAAGCCATGTGGAAACCTAAGACTGAGAGAGAGCAGTGGTTTAAATATATGCAAAAAATACACAAACACAAAAATGCCTTTTAAAATAAAAGGTCGGGGGCCAGTGCTGTGGCACAGCGAGTTAACGCCCTGGCCTGAAGTGCCGGTATCCCATATGGGCACCAGTTCATGTCCCAGCTGCTCCACTTGCGATCTAGCTCTCTGCTATGGCCTGAAGAAGCAGTTCCGGCCGTTGTGGCTATTTGGGGAATGAACCAGTGGATGAAAGACTCTGTTGTCTCTTTTTCTCTCTTTCTGTAACTCTACCTCTCAAATAAATAAATTTAAAAAAAGAAGAAGAAGACTGCCTCAGTGATATGTAAGTGAATGGACCTTGGTGTGTTCCCATAAAACTTTGCTGAAACCAGCACGTTGTATTTGGCTCTGGGGTTGTAGTTGACTGACCTCTGAGATAATCATATGGACTTTGAAAGTGATTGTAGGGACTTCACAATTTCTTCTAAACGTAAGAGAACCGTAAGCAATAAATTACATGCTTATGATAGTGTTTATAATTTTTAAAACAGGTTGGTACTTAGATCTTCAGCATAATAAAAACTAGATTTTCAAAGTCTTTGTTATTTTATTGTTTTTCTTAAACATTTGTTTGTTTATTTATTTGAAAGAGTTATATAGAGAAAGAAGGAGAGGCAGAGAGAAAGAGTGGTCTTCCATCTGCTGGTTCACTCCCCAATTGGCTGCAATGACCAGAGCAGCGCCAATCCGAAGCCAGGAGCTTCTTCCAGGACTCCCATGGGGATGCGGGGGCCCAAGGACTTGGACCATCTTCAACTTCTTTTCCAGGCCATTGCAGAGAGCTGGATGAGAAGTGGAACAGCCGGGACTCGAACTGGCTCCCATATGGGATGCCAGCACTGCATGCTGCAGCTTTACCTGCTATGCTATAGCACTGGCACCACTGTTATTTTATTGTTTGCTACTTAATATAAGGCATTTGTAAACACTGATTATATGTCAGAATTGTCTTGGGAATTGAATGCTTAATAAGATACTTCCCCACTTTTACTAGACCCTAAATTCATAAGTTTATCAGTTTATTTTGGTACTCCATGGGAGTGACTGCTACTGTGCCTGGTATATAGTAAATATTTGAAGGAATGAGTGTATATCCTCAAGGAGTTCGTAGTATGATGAAAAAGGTCAGCATAATGCTTATAGTGAATAATTGCAATTTGCTTTGAAAGAGGTTGAAAGAAGAGCTATAGAAGCTAAGAGAGTAGAGATATCAAGCCTATTTAGAGGAAAATAAGAGGCAATAAATTCAGTTTCAACCATTGTGAGATCAAGTCCCTTTGGGATTTCTAGGGGAGGATGTTTGGGGAGTAATTGGATAATAGGATCCTGGGTCCTAAGGGAAATGACTAGGCTTTGCATTAATATTTAGAAATTATTCAAGTATGGCAGGTAGTTAAAACTGTTAAAAAATAATTTCTTTTGATGACAGAAATCTTGAACGCGATTAAACTATAATCAGAAGGAGCAAATGGCAGTGAAAGACTTGAGAACAAAGAAAGGCACAAACATGTATAAACATTAGGATTAGTAGCTAGAAGTCAAAGGGTGCAGAAAATTTTTGATTAAATATGGTGAATGAACCCACTCATAATAAAAGGTTATAAAGGGCATGAGGTCAGGAAGACAAAGAGAATGGGAAACAAGACTACAGCAGATAATAGATACTAGCAAAATTTTGGAAGGTGTAAAAAAAATTGAAAAGCGAGTTAAAAACATGGCTTGAGTGTCAGAGGCACTTAGTACTTCTGAGAGAGGGCAGGAGTGCATGGATAGTGCTAGAGGCAGGACTGAAAGTTTGTATAAGGGACTAGGGTATTTCAGATATGGCAGGGGGTAGGTATGAGCAACTTAGGGGGGAAAATGGGACAATTAAATGAAAGAATTTATCAATTAAATAGAGTAGAAGAAAATTCCCAAAATTGAAAGATATTAACATGTAAACCAAAAATACATACTGAATGTTCAGCACAATATATTTTAAAAAGTCATACACTATAACAAACGCAGGAAGTCTCACAAGGTATTATTCCATTTATATGAAATATACAGAATAGGTAAATCCATGGTGATGCTCAGGGCCTGGGGAGAGAAAGGGGGAGTAACTGCTTAATGCACATGGAGCTTCCTTTGGGTGATGAACATATATTGGAACTAGGTAGAGGTAGTGGTGACACAACTTTATGAATGTACTAAATGCTCCTGAATTCTTTGCTTTTAAGTGGTTATTTTAAGTTATGTGAATGTCACCTCAATTAAGAAAAAAGGAACGGGGAGAGATAAGAACCCTAGGGATAAAGGGAAGAGTCTGAAAACTTCCAGAAAGAAACAAAGGGTCTCGTATTATTCACAATAAGCTAAATTAAAAGGTTGCTGTAAAATAACCGTGAAATCTTAAATGGCTTAATGTGACATTTATTTCTCACTCCTGCTACATGTCCATGATAGGGAAGAACACCTTGTTCTACATGGTCACTCAAGAGCCTAGGTTGATGGAGCCTTTACCAACTTACTCATTGTTTCTTAAATGCTGTCCATTGGTCCTATGGACCTGCCTCAGTGCTAGGGAGTCCACCCCGCTGCCCAGAAAGCACAGGCAAACCACGTATTGCTGAACACAAAAGTTTCTACCATGTGTACTGGGTAACAAAGACAATTATTTGAAAGGCAGAGAGATCAATCTTCCATCCTCTAGTTCTCTCCCCAAATGGCTACAATGTCCAGGGCTGGGGCCAGGCTGAATCCAGGGGCCAGGAATTCCATGCTGTTCTTTCACATGATTGGCAGGGACCCAAGCATTTCAGCTGTCTTCTCCTGTCTTCCCATGTGTATCAACATGAAGCTGAGCAGCCAGGACTCAAAAGTGGCAGCCTGCTATGGGATGCCAGCATCACAACTCTGTGTTTTTGCCATAGCTAATGCCAGTCCTCAAATCATTTACCTTCTAGCCATCCCTTTCAGGAAGTTATCAGAGGATGTAATAGAATAAAATAAGGAAATAAAATAGGAAGAGGAATATTTAGAATCTAGGAGAAAAGGAGATTTTGCACAGGAGACAGCCCAGACCAGAGTAAGATCAAAGTACTGGGGTCAGTGATGTGGCACAGTGAGTTAAAGGCCAGGCCTAAAGCACCGGCATCCCATATGGGCACCGGTTCCAATCCCAGCTGCTCTACTTCCAGTCCAGCTCCCTGCTAATGCATCTGGGAAAGCAGTGGCGGATGGAAGTCCCTGGGCCCCTGTACCCACATGGGAGACCCGGAAGAAGCTCCTGGTTTCTAGCCATTGCTGCCATTTGGGGATTGAGCCAGTGAATGGAAGACCTCTTTCTTTTTCTCTCTCTATGTAACTCTGTATTTCAAATAAAATAAATCTTAAAAAAAAATGAAAGGACGGAGGGAAGGGAGGCATCATGGGTGGGTTGATAGGTAGGTAGGTAGATAGATTACCTAGTATGTTTGACAAAAAATTAAAAGTTTTATGTTCTGTAAGAACTTGGGCTGTGCTTGAGAGAGATACATAAAAATGTAGTAAAACAACATGAGTCATTATAAACTACAAAAATACTAAATGTTGCATAAGAAAAGAAATAAAATCATAGTATAAGACTCATAAAATAGTCAATGTAAATGCTGATATAGGTTGGCAAAATATAGCTTATTAGGATGACAGTAGAATATTAAAGCTTAATCATGTATGCAAGATTGTCAATAAATCATTTGTAAAATGGAAATTTTTTAATTAATATATTTACAAATAGAAATGTAAATGCTAGAAAAATGGCTAAAAGTTGTTGTTTGTATAAAGTGAATTTCAGCAATGAAGTGGAACAGGTCAGAGGACAGCAAGGACAGCTTACATTACACATCTTGTAGGAGTAATATTTTTTAAAATTAAACCTGTTGCTTTGGCTTTTTGTTTTTAAGAAGACAAGAACGCACAGTGCCACATACTACAGGGTCTAAGGCATGAAAAAGAGCTTTGGGCTCTGGTAGACAGAAGGTTGTGATGATCTTGTAGTAGTAATTCCAGTGGTTGAATGGTGGGTGTGGGTCAAGTTGCAGTTGACTGAAGAGCCAAAGAATAGCAAAATTTTTTACCTACTGCAAAAAGAATAAATTAAAGATTGACTGCCATAGAAAAAACAGAATAAGATTTATTATATTTTTGAGTAAAATGCAGAATATGAAAATGTTATTTCAAATAAAATAATTATAAAGAAGTTACTGAGAAAGCACATTTCGAAAATGATTCCATTTCCTGAAATATGTTACAGCATAGGCATATCTGCTGAATTGTGTCAGCAAGGAAAAGTAAACTATTAGTATAGTGTAATTTTTTGTTGCTTCTTAATTTAAATTAAAACCTCAGGATTGCTTTATTTCAGCTTACCATCTTTGATTTAAAAGAAGATGGCATTGTTTTTTCCAAGCCCTTTGTAAAAGGGTCTGGGCTTTTAAAGTAAGGTGAAATGTAATTAAAAGGCAGATTGTCTGCCTACCCTGAGTTTTCTGCGTTAATGTTATTGCTCTGTCATAGTTAGAGTTCTCTTAGTTCCCCTTCCAGCTTCAAGTTTTTGTTCAAGCTTGGTCATAGGAGTAATGTTATCATCTTTAAATTTGGTCATGGAATGTGTTACACTGCAGGGCTCAGGGAAATGCTGCTCAGTATGGGCTTGGATACTAACGTTTATTTTCTTTGGCAGAGAAGCTGATCGTGGAGGGGCATCTAACCAAAGTGGTAGAAGAAACAAAGCTTGCAAAAGGTTCGTTTTCTGTTTCTTTCTATCGTTTTTGATAGCTCTGTTGGATAATGAAGTGTATATTTTCAAGGTCATAGTATTTTAACCATCAGTTTATTTCTTACTGCTGCCAAAATGAGTCCAGTAGGAGTATCAGATATTATATATAAATTAGTTGAACTTGGTTTTAAAACATATCTTACTTGGAAATTTTCTTTTAAGATGAGCCTATTTGTATTATTTTTTTGAAAATTAATTCTTGATACAGCTTTCTTTGTGTATTTAAAACTTGTTGTGCTCTGTTTCACTTCCAGTCTTATTTTCAACCTTTGGTTTCAAGATTCTAATTAAATACAGTGTAAATCTTTTATCATACAATTTAAGTGAAAAATTATCATAATTGCATCGTGGGATTGTTATATCGTTAAAATACATGACTTTTACTGTCTTAATATTTTATTATTTTTTGTCGTGTCAGTTTGATTTAAACAGAAGTAATTAGCTTTGTGAGTATAAAATTTTACATTTTATAACGGAAACTAGTTTTTTTTGTGTGAATTCTTTCTGTAATAATCATCAGACTTAGAGAAGAAAACTGAGTTTTAAAACATCACTTTTAGGCAAATAAATTTGGAGGATATTGTCACCAGACTATACTGATACAAAATTTAAAACTAGATTTGCAGTCCTTTTCATTAGTAAAAACAAGTGATAATGAAATGCTTAATGTTAGCACATTCTGTTTTGTTGAAGTAACTGGATTCATTTGCCTTTTTAAAATATTCGAAAGGTGTTATTACTACAGATATCTGGTGGCTTCCATTGTGAATTTTGTGCACAGCAGATGCCATATTTGGGGAAAGAATGCATAGAATATGCATCACTAATATTGTTCTGGCAAGAGGCATTGAGTTTCAGAACAGTGAACTATTTTTAGTACCTATGGCAATTTATTTCATCTTATTAAAGTTAGATGAGAACATACTTTAAAATAGCTTTTACTTCACCACCTAAATACTTATTCAGATTAACTGATTGAGTAGCCAGCATTTTGAAGTGCAAATAGAGAGGGAGAAAAAAAAATCAATGCTTCTTTTAATTGAAGTTTCTTGAAACCTTAGTGCTCTGTTTGATGCATACTGAGTTAGGACATATGTGTTTGAAATTATGTTGGTGGAATTATTGGAAAAGATTTGTGCAGCATTGCTAAATTCTTTTTAAAACCTGGCCATCATTGTGTATTCAAAGTCCTAAACAATATGCCTTTTGGTCCAGCACTTCCACTTCTGGGTTTTTATCTTAAAGAACAAATGGACAAGCCTGTTTCTCTCAGTGCTAATTTTAAAAGCAGTAAGAAACGACAGGAGAAAACAAAAAATAAAAAGAAAAGAAACAAATTTTCAAAAGTAAAATAGCAACAAGAGGAAAGCATAAGGATCCAGTAATAATGGTATTTATTAAATAAATTATGGCAAATAAATCTATGTAAGTGAATAGAATTCATCCTACAAGAAAGATAATGCAAATATAAGTTATATATACTCAGAGATTTTTCTGTCAGCAGACAGCATTTTACTAGCACATCAGATAATCTTTAAAAACATGCTAATCCTTATAACAAACTAGATGGCTGAAATAAGTTACATTCTAAATAGTTTTAATCTGGCTGTGAAATATTTTCTTTTAGGTTGAGCTAAATTATCTTTAAAAAATGCTTTCCTTGGTGCCTTTTTGGTGGGATTATTTTTTTGCATGGAAAATATCAGCCGCTAGAAATTAAAAATTACTAGCAGTTAGCAGTATTAGTATTTCATCTAGAGGTTTAATCTAATCCAAAATGTAGTTGTAGGTTGCCTGTGCTTTCTTTCTGAGTCCTGACTCAGCTTGCAGTCCTTATGTGTCTACAGTAGTTCTGGGGGTAAAAGCAGAAAGAACACAAGAAAATAACTTAAGCATTAACTAGTTGTATGCCCTCAAACAATTCCATTAGCTCTCTGGAAAACCTTAATTTACTCACTTGTAAGATGGGATTAATAAAAATTTAACCTGCAGGGCTGGTGCTGTGGTGTAGTAGGTTAAACACCTGCCTGTGGCACCAGCATTCCCTATGGGTGCTGGTTTCCAGTCCTACTTGCTACACTTCCGATCCACCTTCCTGCAATGGCCTGGGAAAGCAGTAGTATATGGGCGCCAGTTGTGACCTGGCTGCTCCTCTTCTGATCCAGCTCTCTGCTTGTGCATTGGGATGGCAACGGAAGATGTTCCAAGTGCTTGGGTCTCTGCACTCACGTGGGAGACCCAGAAGAAGTTCTTGGCCCTGGCTGTGTCTGTTGTGACCTTTTGGGGATTAACCAGTGGATGGAAGACTTTGCTCTTTGTCTCTCCCTCTGTCTATAACTATGCCTATCAAATAAATAAGTAAATCTTTAAAAAAAAATTTAAGGCCGGCATGTGGCTCACTTGGTTAATCCTCAGCCTGCGCCACCGGCATCCCATATAGGTGCTGGGTTCTAGTCCCGATTGCTCCTCTTCCAGTCCAGCTTTCTGCTATGGGCCAGGAGGGCAGTGGAGGATGGCCCAAGTGCTTGGGCCCCTGCACCCATATGGGAGATCAGGAAGAAGCACCTGGCTCCTGGCTTTGGATCGGGGCAGCTCTGGCCATGGCGGCCATTTGGGGAGTGAACCAATGGAAGGAAGACCTTTCTGTCTCTCTCTCTCTCTCTCACACTGTCTATAACTCTGTCAAATAAAAAAAGTTTTTAACCTGCATGTTTGTTGTGGAAATTTACTGAAATACTGCTTTTGAAGCAGGAAATACCATCTTCTTGTCCAACAAATGTTAATTCATTTTTATAGAAAGTTTTTATTTAATAAATATAAATTTCATAAGTACAACTTTTAGATTATAGCAGTTCTCCCCCCATACCCATCCTCCCACCCCCACTCCCATCCTACCACCTACTCCCTCTCCCATCCCATTCTTCATTAAGATTCACTTTTAATTATCTTTATATACAGAAGATCAACTCTAAAGTAAAGATTTCAAAAGTTTGTACCCACACAGACACACAAAGTATAAAGTACTATTTGAAGACTAGTTTTACTGTTAATTCTCATAGTACAACACATTAAGGACAGAGGTCCTACATGGGGAGCAAGTGCACAGTGACTCCTGTTGTTGATTTAACAATTCACACTCTTATTTATGACGTCAGTAATCACCCGAGGCTCTTGTCATGAGCTTCCAAGGCTATGGAAGCCTTTTGAGTCTACAAACTCCAACGTTATTTAGACAAGGCCATAATCAAAGTGGGAGTTCTCTCCTCCTTCAGAGAAAGGTACCTCCTTCTTTGATGGCCCCTTCTTTCCACTGGGATCTCACTTACAGAGATCTTTCATGTAGGTGATTTTTTATCACAGTGTCTTTAGCTTTCCATGCCTAAAATGCTCTCATGGGCTTTTTAGCCAGATCTGAATGCCTTAAGGGCTGATTCTGAGGCCAGAGTGCTGTTTAGGACATCTGCCATTCTGAGTCTGTGTGTGTCCTAGTTCCCTTGTTGGATCATTCGCTCCTTTTTAATTCTATCTGTTGTTATTAGCAGATACTTGATCTTATTTATGTGATCCCTTTGACACTTAATTCTATCTTGGTCTTATCTCCTCCCACTCTTATTCCCACTGTTATTTTTGACAGGTATCAATTTTCAATTGGATTTAAACACCTAAGAAAAATTCTGTGTTAAGTAAAGAGTTCAACCAATGGTATTAAGTAGAAAAAGAAAATACTAAAAAGAATAAAACAGTAAGCTGTTCCACAACAGTCAGCACAAGGGCTGATGAAGTCATTGCTTCTCATAGTGTCACTTTCAGTTCTACAGATTTCCTTTTAGGTGCTAAGTTAGTCGACACAGATCAGGGAGAACAAATGATATTTGTCCCTTTGGGACTGACTTCTTTCATTCAGCGTGATGTTTTCCAGATTCCCCCATTTTGTTGCCAAATGACTGGATTTCTTTTTTTTTTTTACCACTGTGTAATATTTCATAGAGTATATATCCCATAATTTCTTTAGTCAGTCTTCTGTTGATGGACATTTAGGTTGATTCCATGTCTTAGCTATTGTGAATTGAGCTGCAATAAACATTGAGGTGCAAATTGCACTTTTGTTTTCAATGTAATTTCCCTTGGGTAAATTCCAAGGAGTGAGATGGCTGGGTCATGTGGTAGGGCTATATTCAGATTTCTGAGGTATCTCCAAACTGTCTTCCATAGTGGCTTTCCCAGTTTGCATTCCCACCAGCAGTGGATGTATAACCCTACTCTCTTTCCAGGAAATGATTCCAGTGGCATAGGCAGTGGTTTATGGCCAGTATATTTTTTTGCCTGTACATAATTATGTCTTCTCAAAGGTACAGTGAAATATTCACCTTATTGTAGGCTTTGCAGTTTGAGAACAGTTTTATGTTGATGCTGATAGCAGCTATCCTTCCATTTTATTCTATATCTGTATCTATATCTCTGAATGGTTAAGTACTACAGAGAAAAGTCAGTCAATACTGACTCTTTTTAAAAGATTTATTTATTTGTTTGTTTATTTATTTAAAAGGCAAAAAGAGACAAGGAGAGAGAGGTCTTCCTGCTGCTGGTTCACTCCCTAAATGCCTGCCACAACTAGGGCTAGTCTAAGTAGAAGTCATAAGCCTGAAACTTAATCTGGGGCTTCCACAGGAGTAGAAGAGACTCAGATGGTGACAAAAAACAATCTAAATGAAAGATCCTGGTGAACAAGATCCCAGCAGAAGGAACAGGCCTTCAAGGAGAGAGGCACCTTTCTCTGAAGGGAGGAAGGAACCTCCACTGTGATACGGCCTTGACTAAATAAGTTCAGAGTCGGTGAACTCAAGGGGCTTCCATAGCCTAGACAGCTCATAGCAAGAGTCTCGGGTGATTGCTGACGTCATAAATAAGAGTGCCAATTGTTAAATCAACAACGGGAGTCACTGGGTACAGGCTCCCCCCGTAGG